CCCCCCTATGGCTCGCTCTCACTGCCCCGTGGGTCCCTGTGGCTGCTACGAGGTCCCCGAGAGCCCCTATAGCCCCTTGCAGCCCCCTCGTTGCTCCATACGGTGCCGAACAGGTCTATACAAAACCATATGACCTATACAGGCCCCACATTCCTGTGCGGCCTGCGCGGGGCCCTATAGGCCCACACAGCCCCTATAGATCCATAGAGCCTCCTACAACCCTATAGAGCCCATACATCCACATACAGCCCATATGCCTCCTTATACCTGCCTACAGCCCCTATAGATCTGTAGAATCTCCTACAACCCTATAGAGCCCATACATCCCCATACAACCTATCTGGCTCCCTATAGTTCCTATAGATCCAGTTTCCTACAACCCTACAGAACCCATACGTCCGCATACAGACCATATGGCTCCCTATAGGTTCCTACAGCCTCTATAGATCTGTAGTCTCCTACCACTCTATAGAACCCATACATCCCCATACAGCCTGTCTGGCTCCTTATAGCTCTTATAGATTCATAGAGTCTCTTACAACCCCATACAGCCCATATGTCCCCATACAGCCCATACGGCTCCCTACAGCTCCTATAGATCTACAGAGTCTCCTACCACCCCATAGAGCCCATATGTCCCCATACAGCCCGTATGGTTCTCTATAGCTCTTATAGATCCATAGAGTGTCCTAAAACCCTACAGAGCCCATATGTCCCCACACAGCCCCTATAGGTCCCCACGGCTCCTATAGATACATAAAATCTCCTACAACCCTACAGAACCCATACATCCCCATATGCCCTATCTGGCTCCCTATAGCTCCTATAGATCCATAGACCCTCCTACAACCCTACAGAGCCCATATGTCCCCATACAGCCCATACGGCTCCCTACAGCTCCTATAGATCCGTAGAGTCTCCTACAACCCCATAGAGCCCATATGTCCCCATACAGCCCGTATGGTTCTCTATAGCTCCTATAGATCCATAGAGTGTCCTACAACCCTACAGAGCTCATATGTCCCCATACAGCCCCTATAGTTCCCCACGGCTCCTACAGATCCATGGAATCTTCTACCACCTCACAGAGCCCCTATGTCCCCATACAGCCCCCACGGCTCCCTGTGGGTCCGCAGAATCTCCATAGCCCCCCCGAGCCCTGCACAAGGTCCCACCAGCGCCTACAGCCCCTATAGGGTCCCCCCAGAGCCGAACCCGACGCCGG